CTTTTATCTTCCCAGCCCATCCTAGAAAACTTTTGCACCCATGCCTCAGGAGATAGGAATAAGAATATTCACAGCATCACTGTTCATAGAAACATAAATACTGGCAATCATCTATATACCCATCAAATGAAGAATGGATATATACATGGTATATTCAATATTATGAAATAGTTTACAGCAATGGAAATAGACTATAGCTATGTATAATATGAATATTGTAGTAACATAATAAATGAAAAATGCAAATCTCAAATCATATATAGCATATTCAAATAAAAGTTTGTATAAAGTCAAAACAAGCAAAACTAAAACAATATACTTTTAAGGCCCACAGGTGTGCATATGTGTGCAAGCATACAAACATATTGTGTTAAATGCTAATTCCTTAAAATATCCTTTAAAATTCTTTAAATTTTCTTTTATAAAGAACAAGCAAGGTTCCCTAAGTACTAGATTCAGGATGTCTATGAAAGTAGGCAATCAATAGTGTAGACAAGGGACACTTATGCAGATGTAAAATGTTGGTAATTTTCTATTTCTTTAAGTGCTCGATTGTTATGTTCTTGATGAGAAATTTTAAAGGTCTATGGATGAACCACTGATGACTGTGTGTTATAAACTAAGGATTATGATTAATCTAATTCTAGATATCCAGGTTCAAGGAGAAAACGTATCAGTAATAGCAGATATTCATACAGTGCCTATGTTTCAAAGGTCTTAATATGTTTTAATCCATTTTATCCTCCCAGTGAGGAAATTCTATGATTATTATCATTTTATAGATGAGAAAAACAAACCCCAGAGTTAATAGTAACTCTTCTGAGGCCCGCAGCAGAGCTGGGATTTAATTCAAGCTAGCTGGTTCTAGAGTCTGCGTCTGTGTTGTTAATCATAAGATGTCTAAATAAATGAAAGTTAATTAAATTAGGGCTTGGTCATAAAGAAGTTATAATACAATGCTTTTTATAACAATATTAAAGGAGGAATCACATATACAGCTCTGTAAGTATAGTAAAAACGACTAAATTGCACACTTTAAATGGGTAAATGGTATATAAATGATTTTTATCAATAAAGCTATTTTTAAAGACCCTGAAAACTACAAATAAGTCATTCTATAATGCAAATTAGGCCCATTATTATTATTATCCTTGAGGCAAGGTCTTGCTATATAGTTCAGGCTGGTCTTGAACAGACTATGTAGCCTACGTTGACAGCTTCCTGAGAGCTGGGATTACAGGTGTACACCACCACACCCAGCTATTTTATTTATTTATTTTGAAAATTGGGTTCCTAAATTATTATGTGCTATTTTAGGCTTTTAATATATGCCCATGAGTAAAATATACACTCTTCCTGCAAGCCAAACAAAACAAACCTGTCAAGAGACAGCTCACGTGTGAATAAACTATAATAGTACATAAGATCCTAATGATATAATGGACAATGTGAAATAGGAAGAAATGGGCTAAAGGTGTAGGGAAAGTGGGAAGGGTAGGGGAAAGCTAATAAGGGAAAAAAAATATGAGAAAATGAAGAAATGGAAATGAAGTGTTTATAAAGGTGGAGGGAAGAGGGGTGAAGGGAGGGTAGGGACAAGGGGAAAAAATGAGAACCAAGACCTGTCATGTAAAGGTACAAGATCCCAATAATGAATGTAACTGTATTGTATACCTAAAATTTGCCAATAAACCCAATGAGGAAAAAAAAAAGAGCTCGCTTTATGAAAGAAGATAAAACAAAAAATTTTAATCTACTATTATGAGTGGAAAAATGTTCAATTCCCAGCTTTAGCCCTTTCTACATCTGCCAGGAAATCAAACGGCTCTCAGGTCCCAAGACAAATTTCACACTGCAATCATAATTGTCTGTGTGGATTGAGGATATACAAACAATAAGACTTAGGAAGAATGAGAGTGAAGAGAACATCTGATTGAAAATATACTGGTTACCAGAGACTCCTGCAGTTAGGTTCCAGTGTTCTCCTGCTCAGTATACAATGCAGGCCTGAGAAATAAATACACTAAGAGAGCTAAGAGAAAGAAAATGGGGTGCCAGGATGACCAATGCTGGTGCAACTGACAAAGGCAGTGGCCAGTCCCAAGCGCTAACTCTTACTGGCAATCAACTGGGGTAAAGGCAGGCTATGCACAGTTTCTATGGAAATCAATGTTAACAAGGCTTTTAAAGGACAAGACAAAGTACTATCAAATTAGGGGAAAAAATAGACAAAATATACAGTTGTACTTAGAACATTGTCCTTCTAGTTGGCAGGTTTTAGTTGTGTGAACAGAATTTAGGTGTGAGTTACTCTGACCTCAGCAAGTAGGCTTCAGCTAGACTCACTTCTATAAACAAGCCAATTGTGGGGTTAACTCTTGACAGCCTGCCATAATCAGTATTATGGTCCTCTGCAATGATATTTTTAAAAATTGTGCAATTTTCATCTGTGTAAACTTTTGCTTTTAAATTTGCAACTGATTTTAAATGAGATGGAAAAAGTACTTATAGACAAAGCTAGTTCTAAATGTTGGGATGTGTCCTTAGGCCTTCAAGTTGAACAGCTACAAGGGGCCAACATTGATGCTAAAATGGACTATGACAGCTTTTCCTCAACACTATTTCTTGTTTTTTGGTGGGGCACAAAAAGGAGAGACTAAGCAATATACAGTATGATCTTCAGGGAATCTTTTGATAGTTTATCTGTTTTCAGAACTATTGAGATTCTCCTCACCCAGGTCAGCTATCCTCACAAATCTGGCAGTTGATCACAAGGAGACAAGAGGAAAACTTGGTTTGCACCTCAACTTCATGACCACCAAAAGAACATCCTCCTGATCCTCTAAACTAGTGGTGGTGAACCTATGACGTGTGTGCCATGGTCAGCTGTTTGTTATCATTGAAAGCTCTAAAAGGTTCACCATCTCTGCTCTAAACCATGGGTCACTTTTATCTTCTCAGGTCTCTCCAAAGCACATGAATAGACACAGGCTGTTAAAACCTTGCTGAGCACCTTCGTGAACTCAGAACACAAAGAAAGTACACAAAAGAAATGAAAACAAATAAACCTTTTATTTTAACTAGATGGATCCAACATTTTGTCATTATTCTGTTCTAGCGTGGACATACACACCTATCTCACGCTACATTTAATTTCCTTCCTGGTAACAAACCTTTCTTGTCTACTGTATTAAACTGACCAGTCTTCTTGACTCCAGTTCCCTTAGGCAAGGTTTCTTACTGCTTCTGGCTGTGGACAGTAGGGTCCACGACACTCCCTGGTACTCCCAAGTGACAAGCTATGAAGCCTGGAATACCTCAAGTAGTGACTGTTCAACTCTCTGAATTCTCTTTCTCAACTTTTAGGCTCCCTCAAACCCGTCATGAGGTTTGGGAAACTATTCTCACTGGTCCTTACCTTTTCCTTGGATCAGTGAGTCACCTACACAGGTCAATTTAAGCCAAAAATAGTCATTTTGCAGTCTAGTTTATCTGGATTGGCTATAGATTGAATAAAGCAATCAGATAAAAGCTTAACTTCAATTTCTTTTTTGTGTAGTACGTATTTATATAACCTAGAAAAAGATTAATCCTCTTCTGGAAAGCCTTTTATTTTGTAGTTTTATAATTGTGTTTTATCTCTCAATTTCCAGATTTTTATCTTTCGATACCATTTCCCACTAAAAAGAAACCAGAACTCCAAGGAGAAATGGCAGATTCTACGCCTGAGGCAGGAAATAGATCAGATAAACCTGGGACAAAAATAACAGAGCAGGGAAGAGTGGGAAGAGTAACGTAGATTGAAACATGATTGCCATGATCTGATAATCATTGAAAACTGGGTGTTTGGTACATGAGAGTACCTTATAGTACCGTACTTTTGCATTTTAAAAAATTTCTCCATGAAAATAACTTATGAAAGCTAAAAATAATTGCTTTCTTTTAAATTCAAAGAGTATATAGCACACGGTAAAGGTTTCTTTCAGTGTGTACCAGAGTCTCCCACTTCTGATCCTCAGGTTCCCTCCCGAAGGCAATTCCAGTAACCATCCACTTTCCATGTGGTCAAGTAAAATTTCTACGATAATATAAAAAGCATATGTGTACACACATTTATATGATCCACACAATTTTTAAAGACTCAGTTGTATCATACTGAACACATTATGCTAAGACTTATGAAGATTTATTTTAGTAGCATGGGAGACGGGGTGGACAGAGGCTTGAACCTTTCGCAGTGAGCCCCATCCCCAACCCTTAAAAATCTTGTGTGTGTGTGGAGACAGGGTGTCCTTAAGCCGTTTCCCAGGCCGAGTTCTAACCTGCGATCCTCGTTATTCATCTTCCCAGAGTGCTTGGATTAATGCTGGAGGGAATCATCACATAATAAAAGCGAATTTCTGTACTACATTCGACAGAATTTTACAGACTACAAAATCCACACGGATTTAGGTCGCAACCTAAAACAGTACGCTCAGACCATCAGCAGTGCCTCTCAGGTCTGGACTCGCCCTGGGCCGCAGGTAGGAGCATCGCTCCCCCTCTCAGTTACCCTGGGGACTTGGGCGAGAAGAGGCAGCTTCCGGAGAAGAGGCCGGGCTCTCAGCGCCGAGCAGCTTCCCAGATCTCCCGGCCTGGCGGCCTCAGCACCACCCCGGGCGTCCCTGTGACCCCGTGACCCCCAGCTCCCGCCCCCCGCCTGCCCTCCAGGTCTCGGAGACCGCGGGCGCCCTTCTCTGGCGCGGGTGGTGGGGCCTTTCCCGGCTGCTCGAGCCGGAGCTAGAGGGACTAAGATGGTGTTGGCGGGACGCCCTGGGACTGCTTCCTAAGGGAATCTAAGGCTGCGACAGCAAGAGGGCCTACAGTACCCCTCCTGTAGCACAGGCAGGAAGGTGCGGAACCCGGAAGTCTCAGGATCCCAGGGCTCCAGCACAACTAAGCACGCCACAGAGTGAACAAGTATTTGAGAGAACGCCGAAAGCGCGGGGAGGCGGTCCTACCTCACGGTCACCATCTCGCGACACTTTAAGCGACGTCGCACAACAAGCGCGTGTTCTAGGCTTTCACCTTCACGCAGCCTCTTCAGTAGGTACCTATCCCTTTAAGGAAGCGATGGACAGTTATTCCAGCCTATCAACTTCATTGTCAACATCCAATCAGATTTAAACTTCTCTCAGCCGCCGGAGAAGTTGGAAGAAAGGGGTCGAAAGAGGGGGAGAAAGGGCGCAAAAGCTCTCTGTCTCTCAAAAGCGAGGGCGGTGTGAGCCAAGCTCTCAAGAAAAAAACTCCAGAAGGATGGCCTGACTTCCCAAATAGTGGGTTAGAGAACCGGGTCACAAACCAATGAAAGGGATGAGGAGGTGGGATTGTAGCTTTCACCGCGCCAGAAGTACCGTTACAGGGCAGACTTTTCGTCCAATCAACGCCTCCAGACTTTGGGTCAGGTGGCCATAAAGTGTGAGGGGCGGAGCTACAGCCTGGCGCGAGGAACCGTTAAGATAGACAACAAATATAGCCAATGAGGCGCTTGGACTAGGGCGTTGGGAACCCAATAAAAGTGGCTGGGCGGGCGCCTTCTCCGAGCGCGGGGAGATGTAAAGACAGACAAATAGTTTTCCCAATGAGACTGTGGAAGAGCGAGCTAATTGACCAATGAGGTCTGCAGGGCGGGATCCTTTGCCGCGGCGGAGTCCAAGATGGCGGCGTGCGGTTCCGCTGTGTGAAACGAGCGCGGGGCAGCGGGTTAGTCAGCTCCGCGGAGACTACCTCCGACGACCCGCGACGATGAAAGGAAAAGAGCGCTCACCAGTCAAGACCAAACGCTCCCGTGGTGGTGAGGACTCGACTTCCCGCGGGGAGCGGAGCAAGAAGTTAGGCGGCTCTGGTGGCAGCAATGGGAGCAGCAGCGGGAAGACGGACAGCGGCGGCGGGTCGCGGCGGAGCCTTCACCTAGACAAGTCCAGCAGCCGAGGTGGCAGCCGCGAGTATGACACTGGTGGGGGCAGCTCCAGTAGCCGCTTGCATAGTTACAGCTCCCCAAGCACCAAAAATTCCTCGGGCGGGGGCGAGTCGCGCAGCAGCTCCCGGGGTGGAGGCGGGGAGTCACGTTCGTCGGGGGCCGCCTCCTCCACTCCTGGCGGCGGGGACGGCGGGGAGGACAAGACTCTGAAAATAAGCGAGTTGGGGTCCCAGCTGAGTGATGAAGCGGTGGAGGACGGACTGTTTCACGAGTTCAAACGCTTCGGTGATGTAAGTGTCAAAATCAGTCATCTCTCAGGTATCGTCGGGGGGCCTCCGCCACTCCTGGCGGCGGGGACGGCGGGGAGTACAAGACTCTGAAAATAAGCGAGTTGGGGTCCCAGCTGAGTGATGAAGCGGTGGAGGACGGACTGTTTCACGAGTTCAAACGCTTCGGTGATGTAAGTGTCAAAATCAGTCATCTCTCAGGTTCTGGCAGCGGGGATGAGCGGGTAGCCTTTGTGAACTTCCGGCGGCCAGAGGACGCGCGGGCGGCCAAGCATGCCAGAGGCCGCCTGGTGCTCTATGACCGTCCCCTGAAGATAGAAGCTGTGTATGTGAGCCGGCGCCGCAGCCGCTCCCCTTTAGACAAAGATACTTATCCTCCATCTGCCAGCGTGGTCGGGGCCTCTGTAGGTGGTCATCGTCACCCCCCTGGAGGAGGCGGTGGAGGCCAGAGATCACTTTCCCCTGGCGGTGCTGCATTGGGATACAGAGACTACCGGTTGCAGCAGTTGGCTCTTGGCCGCCTGCCCCCTCCACCTCCGCCACCATTGCCCCGAGAGCTGGAGCGAGAACGCGATTACCCATTCTATGAGAGAGTGCGCCCAACCTATAGTCTTGAGACAAGGGTGGGAGCTGGAGCAGGTGCTGCTCCTTTTCGAGAAGTGGATGAGATTTCACCCGAGGATGATCAGCGTGCTAACCGGACGCTTTTCTTGGGCAACCTGGACATTACTGTGACCGAGAGTGATCTAAGAAGGGCTTTTGATCGCTTTGGAGTCATTACAGAAGTAGATATTAAGAGGCCATCTCGGGGCCAGACCAGTACCTATGGCTTTCTCAAATTTGAGAACCTAGACATGTCTCACCGGGCCAAACTAGCAATGTCTGGCAAGATTATAATTCGGAATCCTATCAAAATTGGTTATGGTAAAGCTACACCCACTACCCGCCTTTGGGTTGGTGGCCTGGGACCTTGGGTGCCTCTTGCAGCCCTGGCACGAGAATTTGACCGATTTGGCACCATACGCACGATAGACTACCGGAAAGGTGATAGTTGGGCATATATCCAGTATGAAAGCTTGGACGCAGCACATGCTGCCTGGACCCATATGCGGGGATTCCCACTTGGTGGTCCAGATCGTCGTCTTAGAGTGGACTTTGCAGACACAGAACATCGTTACCAGCAGCAGTATCTGCAGCCTTTGCCCTTGACTCATTATGAGCTGGTGACAGATGCTTTTGGACATCGGGCACCTGATCCTTTGAGAGGTGCTCGGGATAGAACCCCACCTCTACTTTATAGAGATCGTGACAGGGACCTTTATCCTGATTCTGACTGGGTGCCACCCCCGCCCCCAGTCCGAGAACGTAGCACTCGGACTGCTGCTACTGCTGTGACTGCTTATGAGTCACTGGATAGCTTGGATAGAAGGCGGGATGGCTGGTCCTTGGACCGGGATAGAGGTGATCGAGATCTGCCCAGCAGCAGAGACCAGCCTAGGAAGCGACGGTTGCCTGAGGAGAGTGCCATACGGCATCTGGATAGGTCCCCTGAGAGTGACCGGCCACGAAAACGTCACTGTGCTCCTTCTCCTGACCGTAGTCCAGAACTGAGCAGCCGGGATCGTTACAACAGTGACAATGATCGATCTTCCCGTCTACTCTTGGAAAGGCCCTCTCCAATCAGAGACAGGCGAGGTAGTTTGGAGAAGAGCCAGGGTGACAAGCGAGACCGGAAAAACTCTGCATCAGCTGAACGGGATAGGAAGCACCGGACAGCTGCTCCCACTGAGGGAAAAAGCCCTCTGAAAAAAGAAGACCGGTCTGATGGGAGTGTACCCAGTGCCAGCACTGCTTCATCGAAGCTGAAATCCCCTTCCCAGAAACAGGATGGGGGATCAGCCCCTGCTGCAACAGCCTCTCCCAAACTCTGTTTGGCCTGGCAGGGCATGCTTCTACTGAAGAACAGCAACTTTCCTTCCAACATGCATCTCTTGCAGGGTGATCTCCAAGTGGCTAGCAGTCTTCTTGTGGAGGGTTCAACTGGAGGCAAAGTAGCCCAGCTCAAGATTACACAGCGTCTTCGTTTAGACCAGCCCAAATTGGATGAAGTAACTCGACGCATCAAAGTGGCAGGGCCCAATGGTTATGCCATTCTTCTGGCTGTACCTGGAAGTTCTGACAGCAGATCCTCCTCTTCCTCAGCCACGTCAGACACTGCCACCTCTACACAGAGGCCACTTAGGAACCTTGTGTCCTATTTAAAGCAAAAGCAGGCAGCTGGGGTGATCAGCCTCCCTGTTGGAGGCAACAAAGACAAGGAAAACACCGGGGTCCTTCATGCCTTCCCACCTTGTGAGTTCTCCCAGCAGTTCCTGGATTCCCCTGCTAAGGCACTGGCCAAATCTGAAGAAGATTACCTGGTCATGATCATTGTCCGTGGTGCGTCCTAAAGTCCATGTGTAACTTGTATTTACTACTTTGACATGGTTTCTGTTTTGTGATGTGTAATGGGATACAGCATCAGATGAAGTTTTCTTTTTAATTGTTTAGTCTTAGCCTTTTTTTAATATATATTTTTATAAACCTCTTTAAAACAAATTAGAACAGTTTAGCTATTAAGTGAAAGGGAAATCCTTAAGGTAGCAGGAAGATGGGTTCGCTTTTAGAGTTCCTATTCTTCTGATTAACTTTTTCTTTTTTAATCCCGAGCTTTAAAAAAATCCTCAAAGTTAAAAAAAACCAAAAGTTTGAAAAATCAGAATTTGGACAAAAGAGTCTTCTGACTGTAAACAGATGGTAACATGGCTTCCTTGGTGTGTAGGTAAATAATTCGTTTACCAGAAACATTACTTTTGTGACAAATTTGATCAGGGATCTCAGAAATATACGCATTTAAATTGTTTAGCAATGTAATTATTTTAATCAGGTATTTGAATATTTCTCTTAAAATATAGCTTGTTCTAGGAGAGTTGGCTTTACATGCATTAGCTCTTGAGTTTTGTATCCCATATGTGCACTTTTGGTTTGTAGCTGTAACTGTTTGGTAAAAATTGAGGACTGTGTTACAAGCTGTTTATGTCTTATGCTTAGGCTAGTATGCAAGAAAGTGAATAGATGCTTTATAAAATCAGAATTTTTAGTCAGTCATAGGTGTGTGGTGGTGTTTTACTGACTTTCAGAGGTGTAGCAGGTACAGTTCAAATTTAATTGCATATTTAGAAACTTATTCTTCATCAAAGGTGAATTTTTTTTGTATCCGTTCAAATTTCTGGTTTTAGTAATAGAAAAGGTGGCTTCAGGCTTTTGTTTCAGTGGGCATTAATCAGCCATATCTGGATTGCAGATTTTTTTTTTTTAAAGTCAGTGTAAAATGCCTTTGATACACTTTTTTTTTTAAACTGCTGGTATTTTTATTTTCATATTTAAACAGTAGTAGTGACATTACATTATTAGAAATGTTTTGAACATTTTTGAAATTTTATGCTTAATATTTTCACTGTTATCCAGCCATTGAGATTTGAAATGTAAGTGTGGGGAAATCATTTTTTATTGTTTGCCCAGACACCTGTAATTATTATAAAATGATTTAGCCCACCTACAGATTTTTGTTTTGGTTTGGTTTTTAATTTGGGTTTTTTTGTTTGGTTTTTTTTTGTTTGTTTCTGTCCTCAGCTGAGAATGATATATTACTTTTGGTTCTTAGCAAGGACTCATGCTATTTTACGGAAGTGGATGGTTTTTATTTTTACCTACTCCTCTGCCACCACCCCTGATTCCTCAGGTCATTAATAAGTATATTTTTCTCCCTGGACTTCAGTGGTGAAGACTTAAGGCCCTTGATATTTTTTGGA